CATCTTCCCAACTCATTTTTCGTCTTTTAATGTTGAGGCGCTCCTACCCCCCTCTCGCCTTGTCTTGTCTTGTCGCCTTGTCTCGTCTCTTGTCTTCGCTTCTCTTCTCTTTTCGTTCTCGTTCTCCTTCTCTTCTCTTCCCCCTCTTCGTCTTTTTCAAGCAGGCCATGCATTGGCGCACAGTCGCGCGTGTGTAGAAAAACGTATAAAAACCTTGGTTTTTTCCACGCGTTTTGCGGGAGCTCGCTGCCTATTGGGTTCTATATCGCTTACACTGTCACGGCGTTATTATTCTAGGCAATGGCTCTTACACGACTTCGTTCTGACACCGCAACCTGTGCACCTTCCAAGTCATGTCGCGCACAAGCCCCTTGCAACCATTTCCTCGCTACTTTTTTTCGCTTACATGTCGCTTTTGCAGAAGCTCTGTGTTACACACGCACTCTCTGCAAGTACTGTTCGCTGCCCACTCGCTTTTACACCAGCGCAGCTTTTGTTTTTGGCCAGTTGCTCTCCACTTACATGGCTCTTACACTACTTCGTTTTGACGCCGCATCTCATTGACACAAACATCTCCAGCCAGCGTGCATGTTCCAAGTCACGTCGCGCACAAACCCCTTGTTTTCACGCACTTTGATATCGTACACTCTGTTAGCTAACCTTTGCATAACCTGCACACAAAAAACACAATAGCTACACACAGCTACACACGCCCGGGCCATGGCGACCAGCCGTGCGGGCTCGAGCTGATGGCCGGCGGCATGCCGAAGGCTGTAAATAGAAACATCCAACCACCACACATCGCCCCGCCCTCACACCCACCCCAACGTGGCCCAACGCTGTGAGATGGCAAGATACCCATGAAAAATGCCCGAAATTGCAGTGAGTGGGTCATGGGGCATCCCTATAGTCTCCAATTATTCAATAGGCAGCCCTTTGGGAACGCTGGTCTGAGTACAGTCACGTCTAGAAACAAGATGAAACAAGTAGGACACGAGCGAGCGGCAACGCCTGGCTGGACACCGGCCAGGATGGAGCGGTCTCCTGGTGCTGCAATGAACTACGAACGCAACAGTTCAAGAGACAGTCCAGCTGAGCTAGGTTTTCCAAATCACCGAATATCCAATATATTATGTATATATATATATGATTACAGTATAAATGTGAACAATGCACCGTGATTTACCAAGCCACTGTGCTCTAAACCATTCCAACCTCCCCAAACACGAAAAAGACAGGGTTCAGGCAGAAGAAGCCTGCAGGGCTGGACGTAGGGGAACTGTTGATCTCCGAAACTGGGCGATGCGGACGTCTGCAGGATGTGAAAGTGATGATGAACCCAAGGGAGCCAGGTGGATGAACCCATCGCCCATCGCAGCCGTGGATGAAGCCTGAAACCCAAACGCCGCCAAGATCCGCAAAGGAAGGACTTGTTCATCCTCGTTGTTTCTTTGTTGTTTTTGTGTCCTGATTGGGAGTTCATACTTTGTTCCACACTCAGAAGGGTGATGCCCACTTGGTCCTAAGTAGTACCCACCCGCAAGATAGATATGAATATGAATGTTGCCTATGAGTTCTCAGTGCTTTGTCTTGCTTCAGGATATGGCGCCATGTAGTTTATTTCAACAGGATATAAATATAGCCGCTACAAGTCGCATAGTAGAAAGTTGTATTACTGTTTCATATGTTTCTGAATGTCCGGTACTCCTGGTCCGGCCGACAGGTAAGGACTTCTCTAGCTGTTCATGAAGAAAACAATTGCCTCATGTGCTCCAAACAAGTAGCTCCTTTTCGCCTGCTAGCTTGCTTCTTCCAGAAAAGCTCCCTCCAGGCCCACCCCCCTCTTTATGCTGAGATGCCGCTCCACTCCTTAAGGCTGCTCACGAATGTGTAGCTAACTTGCAAAAGATGTTCCAAGACCTTGAGATCTTCTGGGAGGTTGTTGATCCTACCCTTACATTCTTGCGCATATACGTAGCTCATGGGCATAGTCGCAATCCACTGGTACAAAGTAAACACACTTCAACCTCTGCGTGCCCTCGGACGCATGTTCTTGAACCAGCCCATCTCCTTGTTGGGAGAAGCGCCTGA